AGTGTTCCTGAAGACGCGATCATCATGCACCCTTCCCGGCCAGCCCACGTTGATGTTGGTGAAACGTCCCTTGTGATCCACAAGTGCTTGCAGCACCATTGAAAAGTACCCCTTGCGGTTTATGTACTGGGTACCCTGGTGCTCCGGTGCCAAGATAGGGATGTGGGTTCCATCTATCGCCCCACCACAGTTAGGGAATCCCATTGCAGCAAAGCCATCCACTATGACCTGCACATCTCCCAGAGTCACTAGCTTTCGTAGTAGCACCTCAGTGATTGCTTTGGCTACTTGCATCACAGCAGCCCCCACAGTAGATTTGCCCACTCCAAATTGATTCCTGACTGACTGGTAGCTGTCTGGCATTGCAAGCTTCCACAGGACTATTGCCACTCGCTTCTCAACTGTGAGGGCTGCTCTCATCTTGGTGTATTCTGGCGCTTCAGGGCAGGGGAAAGCAAGTCACAAAGTTCCAAGAAAGTGCCCTTACGCATGCGAAAGTTTCGCAGCCACTGGGAATCGTCCCACACCTGCAACACTATGCGGTCCCACCAGTCTGTGCTTGTTTCCTGGGCCCAGAATCGGCGTTCCACGGCTATAACCTGCCCCATTAACAGCATGATCTCCAAAGCACCGGGTCCCGCGGTTCGATAGAATTCCATGTCCATATCCTCATCACTCTCGCCGCCGCGCTGCCGTAGCCTGCTCCTCGCTGCCTGGTTTTCCAGGTTCTTGTTCAGCATAAACTGCACGATAAGGCGCGAGGTATTTACAATGTTCATGACTGCTGTCTTGAGCTGAGCGGGCTCCATGCTTGCTGTGGTACGGCGTCTGCACTGTTCACCCAGGAAAAAGGCGTGAAACAGTTGTCTGTCGTTGCTTCCTGGAGAGGGGGGAGGATATACCCAGAACCACCCGCGATAATGTTTTTGGCCCCATCAGGCATTGGGATCTCGACCCAGAATTCCAATGTGCGGAGGAGACTGCAGGAACTATGGGATAGCTATGGGATAGCTACCCACAGTGCAACGCTCCGGAAATCGACGCTAGCCCCGGTACATGGACGCACAACACCGAATTAATGTGCTTAGTGTGGTTGCATACATTCGACTTTATACAATCTGTTTTCCAAATTCGAATTATATAAATTCGGATTAATCCCGTAGTGTAGACATACCCTTAGATGGAAATTTATTCTCAATATTACATAACTAGTGGTTGATTTATAACCTGAAGCATGATGGTTGATAGTCCTTATACATTTTCTTATCAAACACAACTCCAGATAGCCTTGATATTTACAGAAGAACACAATTTTCAAAAGTGACCAGTGATTTTAGTTCCTGAGTGCCCAATTTGAGGCACTTTAACTGAGTTTGATTTTTCAGAAATGCTGAGCACATATACTCTGAATATTAAGCTTTTTAAAGGTGTCTCAAATTGGGCACCCTGAAATGGAGACACTGCAAATTAGTCACTTTTGAAAACTGAGGCAACAATGTCCAAACCTTTTATGAATCCTCTGTACACTTTACCTCAATAATATCTTTTGGCAGCGAGTTCCACATAATTATGTTGGTTTTTTTAAAGTTGCAGCTCCCATTTGATTCCAGTCTTATATTTTTGAACTCATGCACTTATACAGTCAATTCCTTTTGTTGTGAAGAAAAGCAGGTCATATCATACGTAGCTGACTAGTGAGGAAAAATGCAAATGTCTGCCTGATCCCTTTGTATTAAAATAACACTACTTAGCACTTGCATAGCTCCTGCATGTTCAAAGCACTTGACAAACATTAACCAATTAATCCTCACAACAGCACTCTGTTAGCTTACAATTAGGGTTGTATTGAAAACTGCCTACCAGCTCCACTAATTATCTGTTGAAAACTAAATTGTCTTCCAATGGCTATAGGCGCTCATTTGCAGCAATGCTTTGCATAATTCATTTGACTTCCCACCCTCTGCTAAGGAGATTTCTTCAATGCTGTGGCTGCTGCCTATACCCTGATATGCTAATTAGCAATACCACATCTTTTTGGTCACATTGGTAAACAAGCAAGTAAAGCTATAGAGTCATCTACATCATGCGGGAGGGATTAATGCAAAGGTTTTCAATGCATGTCTGTAACTTGCAGTACACAAGTCGCACCAATTGTGTGCACATGGAATGCCTGTTTTGTCTTCAGTGCTCATTGTGTGAACACATGGTCATAGTTTGCTGTGAACTGAAGGAGTCGAGTTCTTGGGGGGTGGAAGACATCGCATGGTCCTTTGCTTCGTGGTTGAGCAGTGTGCATCATGGGATTGCTTTTGCTGTGAATTGTGGGATGTAGTGTGGAAGCCAGCCAGGCTTTAAAAAAAATAAAAACCCATGTTTCCACTGTCTCTGTTCCATGCTTCGTTTCTGGGCTATTTGTCTGCCAGCCTGGATCCAGAAATGCACTGTGCCACTACGGTGGCAAGCATGAATACACAGAGGCTGCTTGGGCTGTATTACAGCATTCAAATCCAGACACATTCAGCACTGGACTTGACAGTGCAGGTGCTATTCTTGGGAGAATTCTGTGCCAAAAAAATAAAATTTCTACACATAATATTTTAAAATTCTGCATATTTTATTTGTCAAAATAACACAATTGAAACTGGTGTGATTGTATTATTTTGGAAATTTATTTCAAAATACCTGTCAGCAAGTATGTCTAACGATACAGACAATGAAAAAGATTCAGTACACGTTTTTTTGACAAATAGATTCCTTCTAGGCATATTAATACAGAACTCTGAGTACTAATTCATTTAAACTACAATACAGAAATGTATTTCCTGCAACCCTCAGAAGCAGTGCAATGGCTTGGGGGAGTCAGGGGTAATGGAGGAACTGAGGGAGAGGGAAGTAATTGCTCGGAAGGAGCCTACGAGTGAACCTTGAGGGTTGTTGGGTGTGGGTGGGAGAAGTATGGAACAGGTGTTTTTGGAGGGCAGGGAGGGATTGTTAGGGAGCCTCCCACATGCAGACCCCTGGCTGACCCCTAGCCTTTCCCATTCAGTCAAGCACATCTGCTCCTGTCCCCATGTATCCCTGCACCCCCCAGCCCCATGTGTCCCTGCACCCCACTCACCATGTGTCCCTGTGTCCCCACTCAGCCACCCGCTTCCCCCCTCTCTTTGCAGTTTACTTAAATGGTAAATCAATTGCAGTGTCCAGCAAGTTGAAGCTTCTCAAAACAACAAGCAACTGGAAATGTGGCCAGTGCTGAAGTGGTGTTTCGTCTAGATTGGTGTACAAGTCAGCAAACCATTGTTTTGATGTGCTGCACATATAATTTTGACATTAAATTGCATTAGTCTGTTGCACCTGGCAGAGACTTTTTTTTTTTTTAGACCTAGGTTAGCATGGTGTTTACATTTTAAAAATCGTTGTCACCATAATGTAGTTCATTTCACTGTGGAATCAAATCTATAATAAGTGATATAACATGCATCACTGCCAAATTATAAGAATTAGAGGGAATTAGCAAAATACCTTAAATTATAAAGTAAAATTAGTTTATAACCAGTTGTACTTTGTCCTGGTAATCAGATTTTCTATTTAGAGAAAAAATTCAGACCCACTGGCTACCCTAAATGCTCTTAAATTACAGAGATGTTTGTGCATGGTTTTTAATCTCAAAATTTATCAGGATGCAACAAAATTACATGCAGCAGTACCAGAAGTTAAAGAAACAGTAATTTTTAAAGTGCAAATTCTTATTTCTCCATGACATCCTCAGAGAGTCTGATCTGAGCAGAACCAGTGTACATCCATGATTGCAGTAAAGGGGCACAGCATTTGGGAGGGCCTCTGCACATGGTCTGTTCTGCCTATGCACCCTACACATCAGTCCTACAGTAGAGCTTCAAGTGCTTGGTTCTCAGGCTCAAAGATGAAGGGAGTAGTAACAACTTTTCTGGACTACCTATCTGGAAGGAGGGACACTTATTATGGCAGGTCTTCCAGGTGTCCTGCAGAGTCTGAGGTCCTATCCTCTGAGGAGCAATATAGTACAGCAACTGGGAATTTGTGGCTCTAAAATTCTGTCTAGAGGAATCCCAATGCTCTCCTATTTCCATTAGATGTATTACAAAGAATGGAAGAAAATAAGGTGTTTTTAACCCTGCTAACGAGACATGCAAGCAAAGGGTTAGCTTTGAATAGTGTTGGAGGAATAAATATTGAAGAGGGATATTAAATTATGGATTTGGAGAAAATAATCCTATTTTAATTTCAGCAGTAATTTGATTGTCTGCTCTCAATTTTCTGCTTGGTTGCAAAGGGCACTGTTTGAACAAAGAGCTATTAAATGGTACAAATGAGGAGGTGAATAGGAGTGGTATCCCATTCCTGGTGGGAAACACTTGTTAATTAGCAGAGGGATGCTGATTAGTGTGCAACTGTGAGCAAGAAAGCTTGTTGCCGAATTTGTTGAAGAGCAGATTGCTCATATAAATAAAGGCATAAAGTTAAGTCCTATTCAGGTAGCACACATTCCTTAGCTTTACTTGCTCCAGACCTGACACTTCTGAAAATAAATCTTCTACTTTTGCACACTATTGGTGCATGCATGAAATGCACTGTTTGAAAATCTATCTGAAAAAAGAGCTTGTGCAAGTTGCTGTAATAATTATAATAATAATTAATGGAGATATCCCATCTCCTAGAACTGGAAGGTACCTTGAAAGGTCATTGAGTCCAGCCCCCTGGCTTCACTAGCAGGACCAAGTACTGATTTTTGCCCCAGATCCCCAAGTGGCCCCCTCAAGGATTGACCTCACAACCCTGGGTTTAGCAGGCCAATGCTCAAACTGCTGAGCTATTCCTCCCCCCAATTAACTATCTACTTGACCTAGTTTTAAGTTAACATATATCCATGGACTCCCATATCAGTGGTGAAGTAACCATGAAAATCTCCTCCTTTAATTTAGAACATATTCATGGCTATCCATCACTTTATAAACTCATGGAATAAGTCAAAGGAACACGTGGCAAATAGCAATAAAAGTGTATCAACTTGAGTCACACGTTTATTGGAAAACTTAGCCATTGCCATCGTATATAACAATACATGTCATGGAGATTCTATAGATAGGTTCTTCATGGATGTGGGCCGTTGATTGCAGTTATATTAGCTTTCTGGGCTGTTGCTGTGAAGGAAGAACTGGAAAGTAATGTTGCTGGAGCAGATTCTTATTTTTTCTCTTATCACTGAGAAGTTTAGAGTAGTTGTTTTTTTGTGGGCTTTAGTCCAGCTGGCTGCCTATAAGGGCATATGAAACAAATATTGGAGCATTAAGCTTTTTCCAGCTGTTGAAAAAAATATTGATAAGAGCATGCAGGCATCCTACAAGCCTTAGGGGGGCAGCTGAGCATTTAAACATAATTATTTGTTTAGTGCTCCCAGACCCTTCAACCCACATTGTCATATGATCACACTTGTTATGTGTTACTGTTACTAACCTTGGGCCAGAAGCTTAGCTGTGTAAAGGGGCTGAGCTGTGTCTTCAGTGGAGCTATGCTGATTTACACCTGAGGATCTGACCCTGTTTGTTGAAATTAAGTTTGAGGCCAGCGTAATCTTTCCTTTTCACCCCTTTCCCTCTGAAGATCTAATGGTCTCTCTCAAAATAGGCTTCTGAATGATGTATTCAAAATATGAATGAATGGGTGCAAAGGGATAACTGGTGTGCAAAATATGCATGATACATACAGACTCAGTGACTGCAAACACACACTGCATTAGCAGGTACACTTTTATGCATTTTGTACTTGCAACTGTTTGTTTTAAATTCAGCCCTGGTGCAGAGGATTGTGCAAGGTCCTCTCCACTACTTAAGCCGTGCATGTTGGTTGCACTGGGAGTTAACTGGCAGAGCAGCTGCACAGGGGTATCTTTGGACTCCTTTTATGCTGCAGAAAGGGTCTCTGAGCTGACCTCACAGAGTCTGGTGCAGAAGGCCACACGGGGAAGGGCCAGTGGAAGGGCTATATATCAACTTTTACACAATCAAGTGGCCTCAGTATCCCATACAACTGGCACAAAGGGGCTCTGGCAGTCCGCAAGCTGGAATAGCAGCCAGAGGGACCAGCACAGAGCTTTGCCCTGACCCCAGCCATTTCACACTCTACAACGTAGAACCCGAATACTAGGGCTCTATGGAGGCAGAGTAGATTTCACCTTCAGTGTGTAATTACGTTTGTTTCTGTATTAACATTCACAGCTTAGGATCCTGTATTTGAAAATACAGCACTTCCAATTTCAATGTGTGCTGTATGTAAAAGCGTACAGCTATTTCTAATCCTTTCTGTCCATGGCTATGGGTAGCTACATACTTGTCCTGATCCTCAGCTATGGCACCGTGCAACTCAGGAATGGATGTGGGGTGTGGCACAAAGCTGGCTTTAAACCTTCTTTGTGCTTCCCCAGTCTTGGGCTGGCTGTGTGCTTGGACAGTTCTTTGTCAACAGTTAGAGCAGCTTGATGGCTGTTCTAATTTATGCCAGCTGCCACTGTTCCTAAGAGGCTGCCGATACAACTGGAGATCACTAGGGCTCTGGAAACTTAGCCTTGCCTCCATGCTGGCTGCTGGAATGAGTGTGCTGTAAGAGCTGCTACACTGTCTCTATGTCATTGGAGGATCCCCCTTTACTGGGTGGATTCTACTAGGGTTGGTTAATATCAGCTTTAGGACCCCTTTACACCAGCAATGCAGTGCAAACCAGCTGCAGCACAGAGGAGAATCTGACCCACAATGTATTTTTATCTAACTGGGTGTTTACTGAGGACTACAGAAATTGCTATACTGGATCAGACCCAACGCCCATCTAGTCCAGTATTCGGTCTCTGGTGCTGGCCACTGTCCGATGTTTCAGACGAAGGTGCAAGTAGGTAGATGTGGGATAAACTGTCCTCATGAAAGTCTCATCCTAATCCCAATAGTTAGAGATCAGTTTAAACCCTGAAGCACAAAGCTTTATATGCCTTCACAAACTCTTGTTGTCTTTGAATCTTGCTAAATTCTTGGCCTCAATGGCAGAGTGGCGATAAATTCCTTTATGTTGCTCCCATTACTATAGAGCAAGTAGAGCCAGAATGATTTACTGGACACAATCCATCCAAATGTTCCCTTCCTCAATGTTACAGTTACCAAACCATTCCTTTCTGGTTGCTTTCGTGCTCTCATTCTTGTATTTGACATATGATTATTCTATTGGATCAAACAGTTTGGGAGGTGTGAAATGAAGCATACAGGATTACTGATGATGTGGGTAAACTTGTGCCTCATAATCCTAGGGATCAGAGCATCAAATAACACATTACTTGAATATCACCGAGATTCGACAGCTAATGCATTATTCAGGCAGTACCTGGTTAAAGAGTGTCTAGTCCTTTATCTGCAGCTGTTGCATGCAGATGGAATCGATAGACAGAGATGAGCTGAAAGAGAAAACAGAACCCCTTTGACATTAGATCCTTGGAGCTGCAGTTACTGTTGTTACCTGGGTCTCAGCTTTCCAGGACTGACTGGAGGGTCCTCACCTTTGGAACTCAATTTCCATGACCCGGACCTGAATTTGGCTGTATTCAGGGCATCTTAGAGGGCTTTTTTATTTAGCTGATTTTACTGGAGCCACTTGTTGATTTATTGCATATTTTGAAGGTGTTTATAAAGTGCTTAACAATAGTGATAGGAACTACAGAGTGTATAATGTACAGGTACATGGAAAAAAAATAAAAGTAACATTCTGGATGTATCTAAAATGATCTTTTTTTGATTGCGGGGGGTGGGGGAAGGAGTAATGGCTAAAGGAGCGTGAAAAATTCACCAAAGCCTTATCCCATGTACTGATAAGGGAGTACCAGGGTGCAGAGAGACTTCCTATTGGAGAATAGTGCTGTAATAAAACAGACCCACAATGTGAAAGGCAACTGAAACTGTTGCTCTCAAGCAGAGAGGCACCAGGCAGCTGGCAGGCACGTGTAATTAAATTCCTGGCACACTTTGGATGTTTTTATACTTTTCTTTTGGTCAGCAGATATTTAAGTGTGCAGAATCTCGAAACCCTCTGCATGTTCTTTTAAATGTCATTGTGTATTTGTTAGGAAAATCACAATTGCTCGTTTTTCATTCTCTTTTAGCATTCTTGTTCTCTTTCTCCAATGGATCTGAAGATGACAATTTTGCAGAGGAGGGCAGATGTAGATGAGGGATTGAACACACATCTTATCAAGTTGTGGAGTGAATAGGAACATTCCAGCTATATGTAGAGCCCAGCTGGTATTCCTTTGTTTTGGAAGGAGAATACTGAAATCACTGAGGAGTTGCCCATGTCATCTGTAGTTTGATATTGGAATTTTTGAAACAGTTAAGGAATTAATTCCTAAATGGACAATCATCAGTCAAAATGTGCAGTGACCTGCAAATATGCAACGACACTTTAAAAGACCATGCAGAGGGTTTAGAGAATCTGCACACTTAAATATCTGCTGACCAAAGGAAAAGTATAAAAACCTACAATGTGTGCCAGGAATTTAATTACACGTGCCTGCCAGCTGCCTGCTGCCTCTCTGCTTCAGAGCAACAGTTTCAGTTGCATTTTGATTTCTAGATATGCCACTGCAATGGAGTTGTGACTGACGCTGATACAGCCCTGACAGACATGTATAAGTTCAACAGAAGGTGAAAGTTCTAAGAGTCTCTTGACTTGCTGCATGGGTCAGACTTACAAAAAGACAAAAAATGTTCTGATGCCCCTACAACAGACCCCAAATAGCTAAATTCAGCTCTCTCACACACCACTGTAGGCCTTGAATAACTCCAATGAAGCCAATGGAATAACTCTGGATTTACACCAGTGAAAATGAGAGCAGAATTTGTTTCAGATGTCTGCTGTGTATCTCTGGGAGGATGTGCTGTTTGTTCTGTTTGTTATGTGCTGTGACTTTGTTAATTAAGCCCTGAAAGAAATATATAAGGCCAAATTCACCAGTGCAAATCTTGAGTAATTTCACAGACTTCAGTGAGTTACTCCTGATTTATGCCTTATGTAAATCAGAACAGCATTTAGCCTTATGTGATTTTTGTGGGGAAATGTTCAGACATTCAGAAAATGGGCATATGGTGTATGTCTTAGGAACCCATGTCAAAAAATTGGCCTGAAATATTAACATGTACTTTTCTAACTTACCTATCTCTTTGCTACCACTGAGTGGCAGCATGAACACAGTCCTGCAGTGAAATAATTTGTGACAAATGAAGCTCTGGAAGATTTGATGTAAGTAGTAACTATAATAGAACGGATAATTCCTTTCAGTTTCTGCACCCTGAAAGGAATGGAGAACATATCATCAAACTAACAGTGAAAGGAGGGACTAGCTATTTTTCAAATAAAGAAAGGAAGCATACAACAGTAAAGTTTAAAATTGCTCCTTAATGTAACCCTTACAGTACATACAAAGAGGCACTGACAGACTAACACTCTTGATCCAATATCTAGATACTACCAAGATGGGTATGTTAGAAATGCCTCGATAGATATTAGAAACGTGTCATGAGGAAAAGTTAGCAAAGGATCAAGCTGAAGGAAAGAAGTACTTGAGTAATCTTTTCAACCAGCCATGTGATTCTTTAAGGTAATGCTCTCTTCCAGCAATATAGATACATATAACACTGCTCTACAGCCAAAATGCTTCTGAAATAAATGTAGTCAAACTTTACTAATTCTGGGTCACTGAGAACGAAAATGATGCTTAAAATTGTTGATTGGCTCTAGTTTTCAAGGTATGCTATTGGGTCAGTATATACGACCCTTGACTTGGGAATGGTGGAGGATACGTGAGTTATAAAGGGAAGGGATCTCAATTTAAACCAGAAATGACTAAAATACATCCTTGACTGGCTTTATGAATGAATCTATGACTGGGTTTGGACAGTACTTGCTTTTTAGGCAAAACAA